TTCTATCAACGTGTCTACTTCATGGTTTTTCTTGTATTACCGAATACATGAGGAGTATAATTTTCTTATACTTTCCTCTTTCAGCAAAAGTGTTTAGTAAGTGATCTTGGGTTCCTCTTGAAAATTTTGCTTCGTATGGAACCATCTTTCAGGAATATTTAGAATTGATTTCACTAGATAGTGATCTGTCCCTATTTCCGGGTCCTTACTAACTCGTGTGTCTTTTATAGATGAGGCAAGGCGCATCACCTAGCACTTTTCAATTTTTATCGCAATATTATAATACTCTCGTTTACAAACTGTAGCTTCTTATACTGTTCCTCCATTGATTAGCCAAAAGAATTGCTACACCAAATGATGCCCTCGATATGTGAGGAACACCAGAATAAAACATTATATGATCATTTACGTCAGTATTTTTTTCTTTGTTTCGGTGATGACGGTTATATCGAGGTTACTGTTCATTTCTATCTCCACCAAGCTCTCCTTGTTCATTAGACCTCGAACATTCCATGTAGCCAATTTCAATGTTGCGGGTATTCCAATTCGGTTAACCCTTTTTTGTTTCTGAGTCGTCATCGTATCTTGCCGGTTATCCTCTTGGTGATTGAAAGAAGTAGTGTAGTCCTCTGGCCTCGTTGCTATTGCTGCGCAGAGTAAGTATCGTAGTGGTGGCTGCCACCAGCTTCAACGCTGCTGCTTCGACCGTTGAAGTCCTTGTGCAAGAGACCTCGGTTAACCTGGAGATACAGGAACACAATAAAAAAACTACCACATATTGCTGTCACAATTTTGCAGTGCAAATAAAATGAAAATCGGTATTTTTAATGCAAGAAATATACAAAAAACATGATACAGTATTCTTATAAAATTCTGCAGGTTTCCGATACATCTGCATTCATGTATACCTATCATTCATACAAAAATACATCCATAAAAATACTTTTATTTATAAAAAATGTAAATTAAGAGGCAGAACTACCATTAACTCTTCCTCTTTCTTATCTTTCTAATAAAATTCGACATTTCTTCTAATTTCAATGACCACGGAGTAATTTGGTGCATTTGTCAGCGACACATTCTGAGGGAAAGGGTAAGAATATGTTGTTTTTTTATTAGAACTTGTATTCTTAGGGTGTCGAATAACTCAAAACAAATGAACATGATTAAATACTGCATTCGTGTTAAATTGCTTCTACGTGCCAAAAACTAGAATTCTAGGCTAGGCTTTTGGCTTCCTGTAAATATTTTGAGCAAATCTGACAACGCATTTGCGCTGTTCTCTGAGGGAAAATAGAAATTCGTATTGAAAGCTGGCTCGTCAGTAGAATAAAGTATCGACTATGAAAACTTTCGCGAAACATTAAATGCGTTCCGGAAACAACACATAGAATGGCACAGACCGCGTACTAGTTAGTTTTCTAATTTCTTTAGTGTGGGCTAGCTTTTTTAGTTTTATCTCACCCTCTTTCCAACTGCCATCTATCGTCGCCAAAATACATTTTCCCACATTTTCTCAATTTTTCTAATTCGTGGTAGAATTGATACATGATTTCAAGAATATTATATAATAATAAACACCTCGACCTACATGCCAATTTTCGTTGAAAAATTTGGAGCGGTTTTCTTAGAAAATGTTTAAACGTTTCTGTTCATCCGATATTTGAATCTCTTTTTTACAGAGAATTTTGGGGTTTAGAGAAATTTCAGTGGACTTCACTTGAAGCACTTTGACTCACAAACGCAAAAATGTATACAAATTGCTGGTAATATAAAAATTAACGGCATGAGAGATATTTCAAAACAATGACATTTGTGTCATTTTTTAAAAGCAAAAGAATGCATCAGAGTGGCATGAATGTCATAATATTCAATACATTTAGCACTATCCCTTCAAATCAATTAAAGAGAAACTTGGAGCCGTTTTCCAGAAAATGGCGTTCGTGCGTTTCAGAAATCGCGAAATTTTGAGCATATATTCAGAGAAAACGTTTGAGTTTTCGAAAAACTGTTTGATGCACATGTACTCATACATTCAATATTGTAAACAAATCTTTGTTCATGTAAATACTAACGACATAAGATGACAAAAAACAAAAGTGCGTGACTTTTGAGAAAACAAAGAATACTGAAAAATGTCGTATATTATCTGTTACATTACATAACTTCCTTATAATACGTGTATCCGTATGTACATACGTATACGAGAATGTACGTACGTATACGAGAAAGTAAACCCTCTCTCGGCAACTTTTCTCCAAAACCCCTTGAATTATTAAGTTTGTCAGATTAAAGTTATGCTATTGTTCAAAAAAATTATTTTAAAAATAGTAATAACTTTCAACATTGGTAAAAAAATGTGTGTAAGCCATTTGAAGTGGAGTACACCATAGTTTCCCGGACACTTTCGCGATTCTTGTAAATAGTTCCATAATCTTCGAAGAATTGGATACTCACTTGTTATCGTTCTTAAACTCGTGCGCAAAAGATCCTGATTGATGGCTATTGACTTACATGCCACGTGCTCCTCCCCAGTTTTGCTGAATTGTTAATAAGTTGTAAGGGAAGAAAAAAGACTCGTATGCTCTACGTATTTGTTTTTCTGCAGACTTTTAAAACTAGTGATATTATCCTTCAAAATGGGGAGGTAAGGAGGTTATTTTATTGTATTGTGTAGAATACTTATCTATTAAGTAGAATAATATCTATTAAGAGTAGAGTACTTTTTATAGAACGGGATTAAACCCCCCGCCATCGGCGCGGTCTGCAGCCTCCGCACGAAAATACTGTCGATGCGGAAATGTGGATGTCGGTCCTTTTGGATTCTGGAGGCATTATTGCTCTGCCAGCCTTCGCCGTGTTCAGCAGCGTCCGAGGCTTCATGCGGGTGGATGGCAGGAGCGCTGCCGGCTCACAAGGTCCAATGCAAAACGTCCACTTCAGAAAATTGTCCGCTACAGAAATGTCCAAAACCAACATGTCCGATAAAGAGTAGTTAAAAAACAAAACAAAAATATAAAGTCAAAACAATTTGTTCTAAACTCCAAAATGCACATTTATAAAGTTTAAGTTTTCTTTATATTTTGCTATTGCAGAGCAAACCTAAAAGAAATGAACATGAAAATGCCCCCGGAGGTGCTTCCAGCTAAATGATATAGACTTCTGCGACCAGATTTATACGAAGGCTGTCGAGGTGCCCCCGCGTTCACGTCTGTGATCTCCATGTTTTGTTCATATTGCCTCTCCATTTTTCCTTGTTTCTCCCGTCACATTCTCAAATTCCCCGCTTATTCTCGTCCTCCCGGCACTCACAAACATCCTGGTTCTCGTCGTTCCCCGCCACTCACTGAATCTCCCCACATCTTGTCACTCGCAGTTGCCCAAGAACTACTCGTAAAAGAGTCACTTCTCCCTTGATCTGAAAACGTCAGTTTCACAGCTTCATGCGGATAGCCATTCTCCCCACCCTAAGCTTCTTCATGAAGGGCAAAGACAGCGGTAGTGGTTCTTCAAACAAGAAAATTTGAAAAATCATTTGGAGACTTCCCACTTACTTTAAACTACAGAACAGCTTGTTTATGCTTTCTGATAGTAAGGAGTAAAACAAAAGTAATTTCTTTTCCATTACTTTATACCTGAATAAAAGTTCAAAATATCGTGTTAATATCAGTCATACAACGTTTTAGGCATTATTTCAAACACATTCAGGAGAAGAATTTGAATAGCCATTACTAAGTGAGAAATCAGACAATTGACAAATTTTTGCAGTTCTCAAGCGTCCACGACTGAAACAAAATTGGGGCTTAGAAACCTGACCATTTTCCTGACAAGATGAAACCTGACCATTTTCCAGGAAATTATCTATTCAGAAAGATCGCCCATTGAGTTTTACAGAATCAATTTAGTAGGTCTAATGTACTCCAAGAATATAAAGTAAACTACAAAAATTTTCTTAAAGATTATAATAAAAATGTTTTGGTTTTGGCAAAACTCAAACTTAAGGCCAAATAACAAAAAAAACTTTACATTTGAGGCGTTCGGGAGTAAGTAATAACTAGGGGCGGACTTTAATGAAATGTCTTTTTTTCTTTTCACTTTAGAGGAATGCCTTATAGTATAGAAATTAATTTTATGATTGACAAAAGGAATTATGCATTTTTATACGTAATGTTTTTGCATTTTGTCGATTTCGGCTAATAAGTCATTTTTTACAGTTTTCCGTCGTCATTTTTAATGCATTATTACTGATTTAATCGATTTTAATGTAACTAATTTCGAATAATATTTACGAGATGCAACAAATGTTCTCAACAAATTTCCTGAGTACAAATACCTAGTAGCTTATTTGATTTCTTCGCTCAGACGTTTTAATGTCAGCCATTGTGAGTATGGTATCCAAGGTTTTTGTGATGCCTGCCAGCGCCAATAGCGGTTCAGCTGATTTCGGATATACTAAAGTTATAGTTTTCCTGATAAAGAATAACGTTTGAAAGCTGAAATCAATTGAATGAATAGAGGACACCTCGATTACGTCAGTGACATATCCAACCGCTCAAGTCAGTTTCTTTTAGGGTATTTTTAAACATTTTAAGATCTTTTTAATGATCATTTTTAAAATGTTTTGTGTCATCAAAATCTGCCCCTACTAATAACCAATATGTAACGTTACTTCGGGAACTGCGACGATCACAATAAAGGAGTACACGAATGGAGTGGGCATTTTATTAATGAATCTGCATTTATTGTTCTCAACTCGAAGCCGAATGTGATTGAAAGTCAATTGAGGCCACTACTGAAGAATGTAACTTGTTTCCATGAACCATTTTTGGTAAACGTTTGCGAGGTCGTTTTGCAAGGAGCCTTGCGGCCGGAGGCGCGTGGGCAGGGCAGGGCGGGGTGAAGGTGGGCATGGGCTTGGGCTTGGGCTTGGGCGTGGGCGTGGCGGGGCGCGGGGCGCGGGCCGCGGGCGAGCGTGGCCGGCTGACGCGCGTGGCTTGCAGAAGCCGCTGGTGCGCCACCCGGGCGACGCGCTGGCCCTCGACGCCAAAGCGCGCCAATGCGAGATCCACATGCAGCCGAAGCGGGACAACTGCTGCCGCACGTGGCTCTCCAAGTTCCCCACGCGCTCCAAGCGCATCGACGTCATCTCGCGCATCACCTTCCCGCTGGTGTTCGCGCTCTTCAACCTCGTCTACTGGTCCACCTACCTGTTCCGCGACGACGAGCGGGAGTAGCCGCTGTGCACGAGGTACGTGGCGCTCGCCCCTCTGCGCCCCTGCGCATGTCGCTCCTCACCTCGCACCGACGCCCCTCACTCCAAGCCACTCGCCGTAAATCCCCGACGATGGCACTCTTGCCGCTCACTGAAGCCCTCTCATTCCCCGAGTCATTGCTCTCCTCTCGCCGAAGCTCTTCACCAAAGTCATTCCTCGCCACTCACGGTAAGTCCCCACCAAAGAGAGTGAGCCTCTTCCACGGCGTCAATCCCCGCCACTCACTGCAGCTCTCAGCCGAAATCACTCCTCGAACAAGATTGAAACACTCATCCGAAATCAAACTACGCCACACCGTGTAACTCCCCATCGCACCGCACTCCTCACCGCTCACCGAAGCTCTCTGCCGAGGGCTCTCCTCACCACCCAAGGAAACTGTGTGCCGAAGTTTCTCCTCACCACACACTGAAACCCATCGCCAAACTCACACCTCGCTCTCCACCGAAATCACCCTTCACCACTTACAATTACTCCCACCGTTCACAATAACTGCTCGCTAAAGAGACCTCGACACCCACGAAAACTTTCTGCCAAAGTTACTCCTCGCAGCTCACTAAAACTCTCCGCTGGAGTAACTCTTCGCCTCTCACTGAAACTATCCGTTGTGGTGACTTCTCGTCTGATCCGTGGCATTCTGTGGCTGTTTAGTGTCACTCCCTTTAACAACCGCTCCTTCCCTGCGGTATATGTCTCTGCTTTCCGGCGCTCCTTGGCTCTCTACGGGTTCTTTGCCTTTTCCGCTCCTTCCCATCGCATGTATTGTTTGCCTTCTTCGCTCCCTAACTTTCCGTGCCACTCTCCTTTTCCCTCTCTTTAGTTCTCAATCTCTACTCTTAGCTCCGTTTCACTCTGCATCGCTCATCCCCCGATTCTGCCCAATTGAACGTCTCTCACCGTCACATTTCTTGCATCCCGTCGCTCCCTGTGTTTCTACCATCTCTCTCTCTCTCCCTCTCCCACTCCCTCTCCCCCCATCCCCCTCTCCCTCCCTCCCTCTCTCTTTCTCTATTTATCTTTTTCTCTCTTTCTCTCTCTCTCTTTCTGTCTCTCTCTTTCTCTCTCACTTTTTCTCTTTTTCTCTCTCTTTCTCTCTTTCTTTCCCTCTTTCTCTCTCTTTCTCTCTCTCTTTTTCTCTCTTTCTCTCTCTCTCTTTCTCTCTCTTTCTCTCTCCTTCTCTCTCTTTCTCTCTTTTTCTTTCTCTCTCTTTCTCTCTTTTTCTTTCTCTCTCTCCCCCTCCCCCGATTTCTTCTTCTGTCACTCCTATTTCCAATTTATCATTTTCCACACATTCAACATAATCATTCCAGAGTTTTTCTTTATTTGTTTTCAGTAAAAAAGGCGCTAACACTGGGAGAAATTCCTATCCTGCGTATAGTCTAAAATATTTCGTTATTAAATGGTCCCGGTGACAGGAAATTGTAGAAATGTCTTAATGTTTCGCTGTTCTACTGATTCATAGAAATAACTTACATAGTGATTCAATATTTAGTACTATAATTTATCAGTTTTCACGCTGACCATCATTTGCAGTATCAATTTTATGAAATCCAATACTTTTCAGTTTTATTCACTTATTTATTCGGAAACAAACTGTGGCCTACCGCTCGTGTAATGAGCTGCAATTCAAAGATATCCCACTTCGCATTGCAGCTCGGCGTTCAGTGCTTCCGTGTCCGTAATAGTTTGTCCTAATAATGACGGACGCATTGAAGCCGTGGCGACTGAAACAAGGAACAATCCGCCAAGGATTCGCAGGTAAGGCACAGACGTTTCTTTCGGTATTTTAATGATTAGTTTGCATGAGAGTAATTCTGCAACTAATGGTAGTTCTATCACCATTTAGAAATTGCTCATTATTTTTTCACTTCATTTAACTAGATAAGAAAATTAAAGATTATATACACAACAAAATTTAGACAATATGTAGTTCCATAAGAATATGACTGACCAAAAATAATTTCATTTAAATGTTTATAATATTTTACATTATCTATTTCCTAGTGAGTAGTACTAGCTGTAATTTCATTATTTTCTGAAGGCTTAATTCCAGATTTTTTTAAAATGTTGGATAGAATTTACAAGTAGGTTGGAAAACAAAATTAAAACATGGCAATAATGCTTTTAATTTTCATCCTTTTGATTCTCAAAAACTAGACTGTAATATTTTCTAGTATTGTCAATTTTGAAACATAAGTATTTTTTTGGATATTTGCACTGGCATTTTGAGTCATTAATTTCACATATGTGAAACATACTAAGGAATTCATTTGTGAGGTGTTCACAACAAGAGCTTTAAAACTCATTCACGATTCGTGGCTAAGATACAGAAAGATAATCATTTCAAATTTTCAAACTAATTTTCTATGTGCAGAGTGAGAGCTCCGCAGAAAGAAAAAAACAGTAACTTTCTTTGTTTAAAAGTTTTAAATGCTGTGAAATGTGATCAAAAGCGTAGCAGTGATTAAGAATGCAAATGGAACAAGAATGTCATTGACTAATAAATTAATTCGGTGGGCCAAAATTCAGATTTAAACGTGAATTTTTGATATTTCATGTTTCTGACCTTACTGTCGCACAAGGGGATAAAATGCTTAAAACCTGGCCAAAATTAAGAATTTTTTTTCTAGTTTAGCATTTTTAACTCTTAGGTTGGCTACTCTATTGTTGCGACTATTAAATCACATACGTGAGAATAGCCGGAACTTAGAGAAAACTGAGAGGCTATATTGTGTTTACGGCGCCACTCAAGCCAGACGGAAATTTTAGTGCGGAATATTTTTGTTCCGTGAAAAGAATCATACAATTTTTGAAATGGAACATGTTACAGAAGGTATGTACTTAATTATAAGTTCTTGCTTAATTATTTTTATGTTAAACACGATTTTCCTAAAAATGATTGTTCGTGCCCGAAAATAAGAAAATGTATTTAAAAAATTAATGAAAAAGTATAGATAAATTACAAATCTCACAATACCTGCTTTCATTCAAATTTCTTAATGATATTTATAATATGTATGGCTCTGGCAACACAAATTAACCGCACCATTTCCGGCTCCATTCAGCTTTTCCACGACTTGGGCAGCTCTTGTCGTGACGAAACATTTGCAGGCGGAGCTTCACAAACAGCCGCAGACAATCTCAAATAAGAGAGAAGTGGCATAGCAAATTTATTTGTCATATGTATTTATATGTTTATAAAAATTGCAAAAATGGCAAAATTGTGTATTTTTCGAATTAGTGACTTAGATGACTTCTAGTGAACCATTTAAAACCACATCTGTCAATTCGAATTTCAATTTTTGCTATTTTTACAAATTTTATAAACATATGAAAATTACAAACTTGCAATTATAATAATTTTCTTATTGATAAATCTATAGTAACCTGGGTATTTAAGAAATATCCTGGATTATTTATAAACAATAATATTGAAAGTAAACGAGTATCAGAATCTAAACGCTCTAAAATGAGTGATTTTTGATCTCGTACCAACGTAATTTCTTCAAATAGAATGGTGTTGACAGTGGTTAAACGTATATATTCTTATATATGTTTTAATGTATTTACTTTCGTGTTTATGAAAATGTTTTATTCTATGTATTTTTATTTGCAAATATTTCCACATCTGAACTAGTCAAGTCCGCAATTTTCTACGACGTAAAATTGCTAGGCCACTTCTCCCCCCTTTGTGAATGTCTGCGCTTGTTTGTGAGGCACCGCCTGCAACGTTTTATCATGACGAGGACTGCCCAAACCGTGGAAAGGCTGAACTTAAGCCGCAGGCTGCGCGGTTAATGTTTCTTGCCAGAACTGTACATAACATATAATTTGTGCGAATAGGCACGAATGCGATAATGAGTCATGTTTATAAAGGTAGCTGCAAAATCCTGTTTTTTCTAATTTTATTTAACTAAATTTAAAAGTATAAAGCACGTCCTTGTTCATAAAAACAATATATTAATCGATATTAATTGCATGTAAAGGACAACGTATTAAAAAAATATTGAGGAAACACAACTTTCACTTTTAACATGTACCGCTTAACTTAAACAATAGAAAATCCCGCTGCAGAAAGCCAGAGCAGTCTATGATGATCTTATGAAGTAGTAAGATGAAGGCATTTTGTTTTCTTTGTTGCATTCACATATGTTTGAACATTAAAAATTGCATTTTTATAGCGAAAAAGAACCAAATGTTTTAATGACTGTCGAAAAACAAGTTATTAATGATACGAGTAATAAAAATTACATTTTATTTCGCTAAAAAGATGCCGGAAGGCTTATTAACACAATGCTAAAAATATAACAACTTTTACCACATGTCATACAATATTATTAATCAGTATTACTGACTTTCATTTTATTTCAATGCAAATATCACCAATTGGGTACCATGTTCTATTAAGGCCGTGTACCAACTACAAAGGCGCCGTGTACCAAACGTTGTTACAAAGGGGTAGTCAGGGAGACTACTTTGGATGCAAAAATAAAGAAAAACTCATTTTTAGAATGAAACATTAAATTTAATGGATTGAACATGTATGATAAGTAGTTAAAAATATGTTTTCAAGGGTCTTATAGATCCACTTAAATGACTTGACTCTTACAGCAGACCCTTGCTTGGTGGCTTTTCGAGAAACGTCCGCTGAAGTAACTTGTCACGCGGTCTTTATTATGATCGCCATCGACTCATTATGCTTGCTAAATATTCAGAACAAAACTTAAATGTTACAATACAAGGATTTTGTATTTACTATTTACTATATTAGCGAATAAAGATCTAAAATATCACTGTCGTAACGACAAAGGCGTAGTCTATTGAACTACGCGTGTTATATTGTGTACACCAGAAATATGCATGGACAGAAAAAAACATATTTTACCGGCTAGTCACACAATGAAGCTACACAGAGTTTGAGAAATGGTGAGTAAAGGGAAGAGGGTGGGGTAAACTTTTGGCACTAGTTGCATCGTCTGGCTGACGACGTCTTTGTAATCTAGGATTAAGAACAGTTGTACACGATCCGACAAAAGTATTTTGTTTTTATCTTCACATTTGAGCATCGTCTCACTTTTAGCATGCTGTGTATTTAAAGTAAATGCATTTACATTTGTCTGTCTAAAATATTATTTGTTCAAATGATCAAATTCGTAATCGAAAACACAAATATAGTCATTTTTGTTGCATTCTTCCACATTTTCTCAAAAGTTATCCACCATATTGAATCCGCCATTTTCAATTTTTATTTTTGATATAATATTTACAATCAGTAAATCAGAAAACCCAAATATATTCATTTTTGTTTCATTCTTCCACGTTTTTCTAAATCCCATCCGCCATATTGAGTGCGCAATTTTTGATAATATATTCGTATTTAGTGAGGTCGCCATTATTGCATGCATTTTGCAAGAGATATTGAATTTTAGCTACGTTTTAGGCATTTCACCCCACTGTAGATCAGATCTACCAATAAATGAATTAGCTCAGTCGAGAATTCCAAGTGTCAGTCATTTATATGCAAATTTAGGGGCTCTCTTCATTTATTGCATTACAAAAAACACTCAAACTAAATCCTTTTACAAATGTATACTATAATCTCAGTTAAATTCATGAAAGCACTTTGCACATAATGTAAAATACAATGAACATAATAGTTCTTCCTGAAAGATAAATCTTACTACTACACAAACACCTTCATAATTCACAATTGTTATACAGTAAAAGATTAATGAAATTACTGTATTTCTTTAATATAATTGAAAGGAAACAAACTGATTTCGGTTCTTTCTTGGCCTTATGATTTTATAATCTAATCTACGTATGGCATTTGTGAACATAATCACATATTAAAAAAAGGGAAAAATATATGATGAGCTGAAATCCCCAAATAGGTAGCCTAACATCACATTAATTTAAATCCTTTACACTATGAAAGTACTGGTTTACACATATAGTTTAGTTTGCAATAAATGTTAGGCTCATTTTCATTTCTACAATATGCAGAAGTATAGTAACATACTCAGTAAATGAAAAGATTATACCTCTAACCTCACACTTTTGTTTACAATTCAATTTACATAACTGAATTAAATGTTTTGCTTTACCTCAGCAATAACTTTTTTCTTTTTAAAGAAAGTTTGATTCTGATTTCTTGAAATTTCAATTTGTTAAACAATATAAAATATCATTGAAAATTTCATTACGTTGATATGTCTCTGGCGAGAGTTTTGAAGAATGGGATACACATACGAACGTTCTTACTTGGAGAAAACTAACGGCGGGTGAGAAATCTGAGGAATTCAATTCTTAGCAGATCCCACAGCATGCCTCACGTGTCCCTTTGAACCTCCTGTTCGTCGATATATCTTCTTACACCACCCCTCGCATGGTGAATGTGCCGAGAATGAACTCATTGCCTATTACGTACTTGTAAGTTAAGTAAGTACTCTATACTATTCAATATCTAAAAAAAACTGAAAGAAACAACACACAAGTATAAGTTCCTACTGTCATTTGGTTATAACTGCACGCATCATTCCTTTCCACTTGCAACGTAATTTAAAAAAGCGCTACACAATTTCTGGTAAGTCAAATACTTCAGAATTAATTCAAGTATGGATTATATATTAAGTTATCTCTTCTATCTGCAGTGAAGAGTTTCATTTTTCTAGAAGACGCACAGCAATATGGCAGTGGCTTACAATTCAGTGTCTCCCCACTGTACAACCTTCCTGGTTACTGGTCTCCGGGTGAAAAGAGTGGTTTTTCGAGCTGCAGTGGATCGCGCAACACCTGCGCCTTTCACTAACATCATCGAACTAGCATACTTCTATTACATTCGTAGCCGTTCACAATATTCTATTCATAATATAAGTATAAATATTCACAATATTTAGATGATATTCAGATCTTAACGATGTTTTATTTCATCTCACCCATATTTAATTTTTTAATGATTTCCCAATGCGCGCGTTGTTATCCAGAGTAACTAAATGCAAAAGAATAATCGGAAATAATAAATTTCTACTTTTTTCATTACAGGAACACACGTTTTTGAAGCATTATTTTGTAATTATTATTTCTTAATATTCGTAGCAATAAAGATGGTCATAATGCGGCCGAAAATCCTTTTTGCATCATTAAAAATATTTGAGACTACGCTGCATTCTTCTAATTATGAAAACTTCATATTATATCCTACAACATTCCTTCTAAAAATAAAATGTTTAGGCAGAACGTGTTTCAGGAGGTTTAAAAAAATCCATGTTCTTGAAATTGTTTTGCGGTGTACGAAGTAAGCTTAGACATGTGTGGAACGTTTCATTCAGACAATTCATTCTGAATGTTCTCGGCTATTCGGACAACTCCGCTCTATTGAAGGCTGTGTTGCTAAAGTTTCGAACGTCATTTAGTCTTCAAGCCGTGGTGGTTCATTCATGTCATTCGGTCAGGTTATCCATGCCTTTGTAATCATGAATGGAGAGGCATCATACTCGTATATCACAGGATTGGCACCACCGCCGACGACCCAACCGTGCCACGACATGATGGTCACGTCAGCAACGTCGCCGCCGCCGCCCACGCAGCGTCACCCAGACAGCCGAGAATATCCAGAAGCATTTCTTAGGTTTGCCCTGACTGCCTGACTCATTGCCGCTATCTCTGCAGCAACTCTCACCGGGTTAAACTAGAGGTTGGCAAACTGTCGAGACTAGCTAAATTTAAGGTTCGAATTCAGCCCGTATGGAGAAGAATTCTAGCGGCCGGCTGCTCTGATGGTAGTTTTCCATGATTTCTCCGATCAACACCAGGAGAATGCCGGAGCAGTACTATAACAAACGGACCACAGGCCGCGTGCGATCTTTCCATCTTCTTTGTCCTATCTTCACCCCTCACTTACACCCTTGCAGGCTCTACATTAACACACACGTCTGGAAACCGGTCGGGAGCTCGTCCCGGTTGGAGTGGGGGAGGTGCCTGGAAGGCGAATGTTGTGCAAGCGGACGTGTAGGACTGCACCGAAGCTCATCATCCAGTGGGGAGAAACGCCGCCACCATTCGAGGAGAACATACACTACACTAACAGGACTAATGATCATAGCAGTTGACGTAACCGGAAACAGTAATTACTTGATCAATTCAGCCTGACCATCTAATGGGTGTTTGAACGCAGTTTCAGTCGCCGCCGCCGCCGCCGCCGCCGCCGCGCCGTCGCTGCCCGAACAGCGAGCGACGCCACCGCACGGGAAGGCCAGCGCCACCTCGCCGCCGTCGCTCCGCCTCCGCCGCCACCGCGCCGCGGCCGGCCCCGGGCTGCTCAACACCACGTCCAGAGACAAGCAATAAGGAGACCGAGACGAAGGGCTACGCATGCTGGAAAGCAGGGTTTATTCTTACTGTACATATGGACTTATGCTCAATTCCTCAATCAAACGGACGCTCCGCGATTTTACATTTCATATAATAGACACAATTTGCGTTTTTCGATAGAAATAGTGCGTACACATATGAAGAGTTATTTGTGAGTTAAAAAATATATTGTTATTTATTTGTTGTTTTATTCTCATGATATTCTAGACCTCTGTATATAAGATAGGAGATTTAGATAAGAGAGTAAAATGATTCGTATATATACACGCGCCTCATATAAAGGACAAATTATTTTTGAAACATTTGAAGGTGAGATTTGAATACACTGGTGTCTGCTAGGAGGCACTCGGAGCGAGGGACCTCTCGGCCAGGGCAAGCGCGCGTTCGGCCGACGCCCCCCGCCCCAGCGCCAGCGCTCCATCGGCGGGGCTTCTCGGCGGGGCTCCCGGTTCGCGCCCTCGAGCGACCACGGCGCCACGGATCGGCTTTGCTACGAGGCAGAAAACTATCCGATGCGTTGTGTTCTCAAGTTACGCCTGTGGGGAATCTGTCTATATTTATTCAATGCTTTGTGCGGTATATTCAATATAGTAAGCTTAGAGTACCTATTTCAATTATTAACCGTTGCTTTGATGTCCCTGCCATGTTTTCAAGACAGAAGAAAACGCGAGCGAAACGCTTGCTGACGGTGGTCATCGCTCTCATAAACTGTTCTTCGTTTGCGAACAATATAGACGTCTCGTGAAAATTGTTTCACTGACTGAACGAATTTTCTCATTACTCACAAGTATTCAAGGAAGTGTTCACTACGTCGATGAATGAAGAGTAAAAAAGCAACCCACGCTGTTTTTCCTTCAGAAGCACTTTTGTTTCCCAAAAAATAATTCGTTGACACAAATAAAATGTACACATTTAATTCTCATTCTCCCCACTCGCAAAAGCCGCTCGTCCCAGGACGCTTTCTGAACTTGTGCAAATCCAAATTCCAATTAACGGAACGTGGCATCTTTCATGTAGTGTTGAACGTCTTCCTGTAACAAACTAGAAGCAGCCTGGCTCTGCACAGAGGAGTTGGCCGATGGCGAGAGCGAGAAGGTGCCGGGGCTGGAGCCCGGCCACGCGGCTGCAGCACGGGCGCGCGCCTGCGCAATGGCCTCCAGGGAGCGGGGAGGGCGCCCCTCCCCCTCCCGCTTCCCACCCCCAACCACCCCCTTTCCCCGCTCCTCCTTCCAGCCCCGCCCCGTGCCGCGCCCCCTGGCAATGCGAAAGGCAGTCGCACATTTGTCAAATTGTTTACCATCATTGCTGTGTACGTTGTAATAAATGCACTATGTTTTGATATGTGTTTCTACTTTCTTCATGATGCTGTGGTTGTTTGCTTTCCAGGTTTCATGCACCCCTTTAGAGTAGGCCTGAACAGCATTTTGCACTTTCATTGCCCCAGGGAGCCGCGCACGAGCCACTCGAATGTAACTTCGGGCAGAAAGGAAGGGAGGGTATCAGACACATTCTAGGAGTGGAGACAACCATGAGAATGCGCAATTCGAATCGTAGCGCATAAATTGAAAGAGCCATCGAAGAGGCTGTCACGTACAGTTCAAGTAATGTTGCTTTTTGTATTATATTGGAAATGTTTCTTGTCGATAGATGACAATGTGAAATATGAACCTAAAACGAATTAGACAAACTTATTTGATTTGGACGCCAAGTATTTTAGTTGCTTGTAGAGGTAATAAAGTAACTCGTTTGGCTGAGGATGAAGTCATAAATTTAGGGTAGTGCTAAACAGAAAATTGTAAAATTGCATCGTTTTTCTTCAATGGCTAAAATATTTTTTTTCTTTAATTATGTTTAATTGAATAGAAGGTTGTATCAAAGCTAAAATATCTTATTCTTAAAAAATCATGATTACTTTTCTCCTCTAATTTCTGACACGAGTACCTCATACATTTCGAATAATGAATCAACAAACTCTATTTATTCATAATTGTTTACGATGGCATAGAAAAAATAAAGCTTATGCATTTTAATTAACAATACCTATAATGATCCCATGATTGCTATACACGTCTGAGAAGTTTGCTCGTTGGTATCTCTTATTCAAATTTATAATAGGGAGGAAATGATCACAAATACATGTGCTGTCAAAAATACCCTCCTTGGAATTGCCTATATTTCATTTTTAAGTCAACCTCGATATGAGAGAGTGCTCTCATTATGTAAGTGGGCACATTTTTTGCCGCAGTACGAGGAATTGGAAAGCTCAAATAAAGTGAGGCATCAACCCACTCAACGTCCGGCTGCTCCTCTCCACGCAGAGCTACCCCTCGTCCACTACTTGCACTTTCGGGGCTCGCGGGGCAGACGTTGGTACGCATCGGAGAAGGGTTCCTCAGAAATAACTTACTTCGATTCGTATACAAATATTTAATAAATACTGAAAACGAGTTACAAGCGAGAATGAACTCGGCCACCTCGTGACGAGTAACCGCACGGCAGCGAGACAGTGAATGATCTGACCGGCTTAGACATGGGCGCAGAGCTTGAATACCAGTGCCTGCGTGACTTACTCCGCGTGTGCTGGCATGACGCGTCGTTACTGTCAAAGGCTACGGCTCGTAGGTCGGGGTAGCTTAGTCATGGTCCCTCGCGGGGTGGCTCCGTCCCTGTGGCCTACGTGACCTGTCTATAGTACTTTCGTCAGGGTGCTTTATCATGAGTTCAGCGGTCATGAAAGGGGGTGGCTTCGTCACTGTGGCCTACGAGACCTCTGTCGCGTGTAACAACGTCCGTCTTTTGAGTGCAGAATGCACGCGGAAGCATGCGTTGTCCAGGTCTGCTTTAAAGCCTATCAAGTTTTCAAAGCATTCAGCAATGCTAAGATTCTATTTAACACCCGATTCTAAGAAGTGAAATCATAAGAATATATTCCGCCTGCGAAAGAAAGTATGCAACTGCATTCAAAGAACGCAAACTTGTTCACTTTCATCTTTCTTCTGTAATTTTGTCAAAATTCTTTAACTTCATTCCTATTCTGAATTTCACTTTGTAAATTGTATTTAATGCTACACGTCCTAGAAATATTTTTATTATTGGCAATTCAAATATCGGAATAATTGTCATATTTGAAACTACAAATAGGTTACCTCGAAAGAAGATGCCACAAATGAATTATTTTCGCAGTAAGTACTGCCAATAAATTACATCATAATTACCCAATTTACAATTCCGTTAGAGATAACAGCATAACATTTGCAAACAATCAGTTTTAAGAGGTAATTCAGAATGCAGGCTTTCTCTTAAAATTCAGTTTTCTAATCTCTTTGGCTAGTCTTTTTCGACTCCATCCACTTCCCAATCGCCTAAAGAACCGTCACCAATTACTGCCGCGTGAAGATTTTTGTTTGTTGATATTTTATTAATATTTTCGTGCTCTAATGGTAGAATTTATATGTGAATTAATAAATAACAGGGAGGAGTAAATCTGGTCCGAATTGTAAATTTTCGTTCAAGAATTTGAATTCGTTTTCGAGAAAATTCGTTTCCGCATCTCTTAAAATGTTATATTATTAACTCATTTTCACGAAAAATTTTGAGTTTTTGAGAAACTTCATTGAAAATCATTTAAATCATTACTAAAATAATAATAATAATGTATACAAATCGTACGTAATGTAAATATTAAAGAAAATTACATTTGGAATATTATATATAATATTATAATATTTGTAAATATTATATTGAAGAAAATTACATTTGTATAAGTTTTTAACCAGTGTTGCTACGACAGCACATACGTTCTCGCAATATTGGAACAGGTTACGTAGTACTGAAATATTTCGATTTATGCGCTACTAACGCCTCAGCTATAACTTGAAAATGTTCGATTCAACCTATTCAAAGATTCAAAAAGAAGAAACCTGTGATGCATTCATTTTGATAGTCATAAGAAGCAATCATTTCCTACTTTTACAAATGAAACAAACAGATGTAAATTTAACTGTTACAGTTTTCGTAGCACGTAATTCAGAAACTAAATAATAATTATACCTACATTTGCCTTGATTACATTGTCGTGAGCTTCCAAGCTTTGAATTCTGTAATTAGCGATCAAAACTTCTTACAGTATGATGATGTAATGTCTTACAACAATCATTAAAATTAATTCTTATACTGAAATTGAAAATAAGTTAATGAATTAATTTGGGTGTCAAGTTATTCACCTGTAATACTTAAATAAATGATAATTTAAAAATGATGGGGAAGATACATGACTAAATGCAATTCAATAATGTTTGCCATGCTAGGTGGAACAAGTTTTAGATTAATTATATGCAGAACATGAAATATTATGATAATAAAGGGAAAATCTTTAAAAACTTACATAAGTAGAATACTTTTTAACTAGTAACACATTATTTGCAAATAAATAAAATAGAAATGAAATCGAAACAAAACCTAATTATGCAAGATTGTCACAATTGAATGTGTCACAGCCTCTGTTCAAATTTTAAAACAGTGTACCTCATTGATATTCAATGAGAAGTGTAGCTATTATCAAATATATGAAATTACTGATGTGATGCAAGTGGGAAGACAGCGAAAGTAAATTCAGGAGCTTTGGAAAACTAGAAATGAATACCTTCCTATAAAAAAGGACTTGTGCACTGAAACAATAGATTGACAAAGGATGTTATAATTTTATATTTAAAGATGAAAATAAACTAATATAATTAAAATCAGTAAATGAATTTATTAAATTTGATACAGAGATGATATAAATAAATGAAATTTTTTAATAGACAAAAAACAATTCATTTGGTTCACTCACGTGCCTGCATCTCTTATAACGAGATATTTAGTCAATCTTCATTTTGCCTTATCTTAAATATTCATAGATATTATTAGCAACCAAAAGTCAAAAAGCTTGGAAATGTGTCACGATCTTAGTTCAGAATTAGCTTAACTGTAATTGAATCTTGGAGAACATCAATTTTTCATTCTAAACAAATACATTTAAGCACAAGGAACCTTTTGGGAATACTCAAAATATATTAATTTATTAAAGGAATCAGAAGGGACAACAGAATATAATACCCCTGAAAGAACATCAGATTGCTGGAGTTTCCACAGTTCTCTTCAATTGTAAAATAAAATGTGAGTGATTTCTTTACTTAAAAATTTGTTGAACTATAGCAAAACTACGTTCACAACAACGTGAAACAAAATCACGTTGTACATCTTCTCGTAGAATAGTTCCCCTTTTATAAACATTCTGCATGGGTAATGTTTTCTGCCAGTCTTTAATAAATTAATCGGCAACTTATCTGACAAATACGTTTCAACGCTTTGTATAAACAAATTTAATACAACAGCAAATTTACTCCCAAGTTCTCCAAAGTATGCAATGGATTTACACGCACACGCACATGTTCCGCAAAATGCTGAAACTGAAATGAATACATTAAAATTAGATATTTTACTCGAAAAGAAAAGAATGTACATAACCTGAAATTTTACTGTTTACCTCTGATTGTAAATGGACATTCTTATGGGCAGAAATTCTTGCAGGAGATACTCATCTTATTATTACGTCCTTAGTAAACTTAAAAGATGTGAACATTGTCCCCAGGCGCATAATTTCTATTGATAACACACTATTTCACACTTAAAACCAGAATGCACCATACAGCTCGTGCCCCGCTCCCGCGGTCACCAGCGTACGCAACAGGTACGCATGTGCCGCATGTGGACGATGTAGATTACGCATCAAAATAGGTCGCGCCAAAAAAGAAGGTTGGGTAACATTCCCATACTAAACGTCTCAAATACCATTCTCTCAGCGTTCACAAATGCGTTCTAGCGGTAAACATTGAGAACGTAATGTGAATTAATACGGTGGTTATAGGTCCCACGTAACTCTGAACGTCACAGGGTTGGTAAGTATTGACAATCAGTACGTCACAAACGATGATTATTGTCACAATGTGTAAATCCATCGTCACAACTTTGTCACTAAGTCATCTACTACTCGTCGTCATCGTCACTACTTAACCATAGGTTTATGGTTGAGGAAAAGATGATCATTTTCTTCCGGATGTCTTTCTAAAACTTAAAAATTGAAGATGGAGATTTTTCCTTTACATTAAAATTATTCTCTTAGGTGAGTTCTTTCATTACGGTTATTTACATTTTTTGAACATGTTTGTAGTCTTCGCTCAATACTGAGTGCAATATGTGCAATTAAAAAACATGAACAATATTTTCTCAAGTATGGCTCAAAAGTTTTTCTTTCAACTTTTGGTAGTGATCCTCCAAGGTGGTTGGCCCTGAAATTTTTT